AAAATATTACGATAAATGTAATATGATTTTTAAAATAATAAGTGAATAGCTTTTATGCTTTATTAAATTTTAAAAGATAAGAATCATTTGACACAATATTACAATTTCTTTTATGCAACAATTTTATTGCATATTTGTGTATACAAAATCTTTAAAGGATATTTTTATGCCAAAGAATTAAATTATAACAGAAAAAAATTTTAATTTTTTTTTTTAAGTTTCTCATAAATTGCAAGAATTTATTTTTAAAAATTTTAGAATAGAATATCATCAATCAAGAAATGTACAGGTTGTTAATATATTCGTAGAACTGAGCTAGAGGCCAAAACAAACACAAAGATTAATATACAAAAATATCGGTCAAGGTTTATTTATTAAGTTATAAACAATTTAAATTTGAATTGGATAAAGTGAGATAGAGACAGAGTGATCTTACTCTATCTTCATCTCGCTTCGTCTAACGCAGATTTCAATTGCGTTATATTTATAACTTATTGATCAAATAATATACCAACTTTTGTGTTTATTTTGGCCTCTAAAACGGATTCTCTAAAAATGTTCCATGAATATATTAACATCTTGTACAAAAAATATATAAAATTTTAGTTTCATGTAAAATTGAAAAAGAAAATAAATAAAAGAATAGACTTTAGATTTAGATTTTAAAAAAAAATACACGTTCATGACTTAAATTCAATAATTAAATATTTATATTAAAATACAAAGTAAGATCAAAAAATCAAATTTGAATCTTTAATAAATAGAAATCGATGATAATAGTTACATTTTAGTTAAATATTATTTCAAACATTTGCATTTTACGGTCTTTCATCCTTTTTATACAAAGACAAAAGTGAGAATTCGGGAAGCACTTACCACTGGACAATAAACTTCCACCCACCACAATCACTATTTCCATTTCAGTTATGTGCTTGAACGTTTCCTTCTCTTTCCTTCTTTCTTATAAATCCTCCTATTTACATTCGCTTCATTTTTCCTCATATCGATGTCTTTAGATCATCCTGTAATGTCTTTTTTTATTTAAATAGCTCAATCTTTTATCTCTCAACTATCAATCTTTTTTATCATCAATTTTGTTCTCTAAAGTAAACATTGTTGCCGTCAAAATTTCAAAGTAAAGAATCAAGCCAAATTAAAGCGTAAACTTTTACACACTTTTTTTTTCTTTATTTCTCTGTCCATTGACAAAAAGATACAATATTGTCTTGTTAGTATCTTTATTGTGTCATTTTTAACTTCTTCAACGTTTCTAACGACACGTCGTTAAAGAAGGAAAAAAAAAAAAAAAAAAAAGAAAAAGAAAAAGTTATATAGCCCGTGTCTTTCTCCGTGGAACGCGTACCTTAATAAAACCGCTTAAAAATATGGCGAGTGAAAAAGAAAGAAGAAAAGGGACCGATGGATAAAAAAGGAATTGAAGTCTTAAAAGGAATCCGACTATGGTATTCCTAGCGTTTCGCAACTGCAAAGAAGTGGAAAGGGAGAAGAGGCAAAAAGGAAGAAAGATTTCACGTGTATCATTGCACTAAGTAAAGTAATGAAAACGAATCGTAAAGTTACGGGGACAAATTTGTGGAGAAGAACGGAACTCGAAGTATGTCGCGAACGTACGTGTAATGTTATATCGTGATATCAATCATAAATATTAAGAGACTTCGATTTGTAATAATCGTCAAGATATTTCAATTAATTAGATAAATTTGTATATTTTATACAGGCGTTTAATTTTAAAAAGTATACAGTTTTATAGTGGAAAATTTTAGAAAACCAAACGTGAAATTTTTATTATTTGTCCTTTTATATCGTTTCTTTATAATTTGTTGTTACGTAACAATTTTGAACATTGAATTATTTCAATTTATCAATAGGATCACATTATTTCTCATCTTTATTATTATTCTTCTATTTGCAAAAATAATTTGAGAAATCAATTCGTATACAGAATTAATTTTTATTAAAAAAAAAAAAGTACATTTACACTTTTACACGTACATTCGTATATAATCGAGAGCGGATATTGAAATTTAATAAAAATAGAAAGAAATTTTCCATTACGACTTAGTTTCACTCCACGTTAAAATTATATTCCTTCCCAGCCACTTGTATCACCCCTATATACTTTAATCACTCTATAGAATCACGAGAAACGGAGAACAAGTCCCACTAAATAACAGCGGCCATACGTCAAAATTTGAGTATTTTATGAGCCGCAACGGTCGACCGGGTTCCAAAGAAAGACACGCGATTTTCTGAACGCAGAAGCTTCCTGGAAGGACCGCGGGATTGTTAGACGGAAGACGATGGTTAACGCGTACCCTGCTTCACATATTTATTTTCGGCATCTTTATGCACGATCACGAATTGGTTTTAAGGATCCACTCGTTGGACACGGTCAGGGCTATCGAACGTACATGGACGCAGATTAAGACAGGTCTTTATGAAGAGGGGTGGAGGACATTCGAAACGTCTACGAAAATCTTTCCAGGCGTCTATCCGACAGGGATACGGGGTCGGTCTTTATCGCCGCGATGCTTTTCCAACCGTAAGTACGTTATACGTCGACGAGACTCGTTTTACGACCTGGCCAAGTTTTAGTGCCGAACGAGGTTCCGCTTCGCTAGGATTTTCTGACTTTAACCTTTACTCCATTCCTTCCCTGTGGATATTTACGCGGATGCCGCCGATCTACGGGGCTGAATCATTGTGCGAATATGATTCGTCAAGGTTTATAAAAAATTATTGAATGAATGGATTTCTCGTTATGGATAGACGTGTGGAAATATTTTATCGATCATCGATAGAAAGAAATCGAAGATGAATGGCGGTTTTTTTTTATCTTTGCCGAATTGTTATCCTTTTTTTTTTTTTTTTTTAATTTGTGACTTCCTTTTTTTATTACGTTTGTATAAAAAGAAAGTTAATTGTGATTTTTAAAAATATAATTATTTTGAAGTTTTATCCAAACGAGATATATTATTATTTATCCAAAATTTTTATTTCTTTTTTTTTTTTTTTTTATTATGCACGCATAAAATTTTATTTGTATTATTATTAGTTTCTGCATATTTCCTTAATAGTAAAATTATTTCATAAAGGAAATAATGGAAACAATTTCATGTTTTATGAAGCATAAAAAAATGATTCATGGATATAAATAATCAAGCATTCAATTAAAATGTTTCATAAAAAACGGAAGTTCCGATATTAATTAAGAGTAGAAAACAGTGGAAGCGAGTAATTAATCGAGTTACACATGGAAATATCTTTCGAAGCAGAATATTACTCGATGCATTCATTTCTCTTTATGAGATCTTTACATACAAATCGAAATTAATACTATCGCGAAACACTGCTGATTTTAATCAATTTTCTCCTATAAATTATTGCAAAATTATTTAGGAGTTATTAAAATTCTTTCTTAATTCAACCATTCAACTTCAAGATTATAAAATTACGAAACATGATATATATTACAAGCATTATTCTTTAATTATTCATCTTAATTTAAATTTATTATAATTCATCTTTTTGTACAGTTGAAAATCTCAATTACTTACAAAATCATCGACAGAAGGTATCCAACATCGACTCGATCAAATCTTCTTGCCTTTTCGCGCCATTAAGATATGAAAACCCAAACCAGATAGAAGAAAGACAAATGAAGCCCAAATGCGTCCCGATAATACGTATATCCCATAATCTATATCCCATCCATCGGTGTGTGATGCACCTTGAGGAGGAACCATCGTGTCTAGACTTCCGAAAAAGTCAGCAACGACCCTCTGCCGCCGTGGTGGAGCAGGAAACCGGGTCTGGCCGGGTGAATGGCGGGTGGGTGCTCGTATGAAAACTAAGTCCGGGTTTCATTTGACTGGCTTTACGAGGGAGACATAAAATGGATTTTACTGTCGGCTAGTTCGCCAGTCTCGAGTTGGTAACATTGCTTTAGCGAGCATAATACAGCCCCTTGCCTTCCCTCTCTTTCACCTCCTGTTCTTCCTCTTTCGTCACTCCTCCTCTTCTTCTCTTTCTCTTCCGGTTTCACTATTCTTTTTTTCCTCTCCTCCTCATCACGACGTTTCGTTGTCGTGTTCAAACGCACGCGTTTTTCTCTCCTTTCCCTCCCTCGCCCTTTCTCCTCCCCATTCTCTGTCTCTTCCTTTCCGACTGTGTTCATCAGTCAGAGGGTCCTTAAAGTCTTCGTGACAAGTTTCCGCTGGAAATTTTTCGAGCATGAGAAATGTCTCTGCCGGTGGATTTAATATCCGCTGGATAAGACGGCGTGCTGGTCGTTAACGCTACCTTTAGATCCGCTTCCTGTTCTGTTTTGGAAACGGTTGCACCCCTTGCGAATCGTCTCTTCCTCGGTTAACAGACGCCATTAAACTTGTCTTTAATCCTACATCGCCGTTTAATGGCCTCCTGTTTGGACAAAACTTATAGATATATTAATTTACGATATTGATCTTCTTCTTTTTTATTTTATTCTATCGTTGTTGTTTCTTCTACACAATATGCAAAATATATCGATATTGATGGTATAAGGAAATCAATTGAAATAAATTTTTTCATTCGAGAATTGATTTCGAAAATTTTCCATGTATATTTTGATTACATGCATGGAACAATTATACTCTCTGGATTAAATTTTTACGAATGTATTTTGCATTTTTCGAATATCTTTGGTTTTACAATTGCGAAAGATTTTTATCATTTTAAGAATAAACTTTTGATTGAAGATCGAGAAATGACAAATTCGATAATCACGATATTAGATTACAATCATTTATAATCAAAATAATAAAAAATAATATATAACAATATATATTTGTTTGCACAATAATTTACTTACTAATATTGTTAGTGAATTAATAAAAAATAAATGAATCAATAACAAGCGAAAAATATTTTGAAAAAAATTCTTTTTTTAAAATGTAACACAGTTGATTAACTCCAGGTGAACTTTTTTCTGATTCCAGATCGATTATTCGACCATTCAATGAAGTAAAATATATGGAAGAACAGGTCAAACCCAAAGAGAAATGATTATATCGAAGAAAGAAAGAAAAAGAAGAAGCGGAAGGCCCAAAAAATAATGGGAAAGAAGTTTCGTTACGGAGCGTTTCATTCTGATCGTCATTCTCTTGAAACAATACTTCTTTCCTCGAAACTTGGGTGGCGCGAAAAATTAAAATTAAATTTAAAATTAAATCGTGACGTTATATACATTTTTGGAAAAAGTATTCCTCTCTTGTACCGTTACTTGTGACGATATCGATACTTTGTGACCACTATTGTGACCAGTTTACCTGTTAAATCAACGAAACAATCGATTTATTAGATCGATTAAACGATTAAATTTTTCTCACTAACTGTTTCTGAGAAAGATGTTTCTGAGAAAATGTTGAAAATATACGATTAAGAAAGAACATGTGTCGTTCACGGCCGATTCACAAAGAGATAGGGAGATAGATCGATGCTCCCTCAATGTGAAAATAACAGTGTTGCGATTCAAACCCGTGTTCCGAACACAAAAGGAATCTGCCGGTTTAAAAAAAAACGAGAGGAAGGGAGAGAGAAAGATACAAAGTGCATTGTGTTCTACAGCCTTCCTTCAGTTTTATTCCTCTTCTTCCTCTTCTTCTTCTTCTTCTTCTTTTTTTTCCTAGACTCACCAAGAGAGGAACAACAGAAACATGAAAGTTTTTTGCGAGTGGATCGTGGGATACCGAGGTTCATGGACAACATGTACCTCGGGCATCCCTCGTCCTTGCACGTCCTTCGGTTCGCTGATCGAATCTGCCACCTTCACTTGTTCCTTCTCTCCTTCTTCCTTTTTTCCTCATCCTCTCTCGTTTCTCTTCGCGGTCTCCTCCTTTTTGTCCATTTTCATCCTTCAATTTGTTCCTTTCATTAAATACATTTCCTCTTCTCTCCCTTTTTCCTTTTTTTCTTCGTTTCTTTTTTTAGAATATTCTCTTTTTCTCTCTTTCTCTCTTCCTCTCCCTTTTTCCCCCGATTTCGCAACGCGTTGTTAAAGCACGAAACGAGAGATTCAAGATAGAACTCGTTCGTAAAGAATACGATAGCCGACCAGTTGTTTAATCGCACGTGAACGAGATCGCTCAACAATCTTTTCGAGTATCGTCGTGTGTTGTAAACCCGGCCGTGTATGTATAACCGCCGACGGCTCTTTTCGGCTGAGCTACTTTGAAAACCCTTAGTCATGTTCAATTTTGCTCTCGTGGTTTTTGCTCCTTTCTAAAGGAACGTGATTCCAGTCTGTCTGCGGTGAGGATGACAAGCGCGTCGATGATCACGCTTCTCTTCTTTGTTATACGTGGAGGAAGCGCGATTTCGTGGAATATCCCTTATTATTATTATTATTAATTTGTAACATGGAATTTCGAGGCATAAGAGATCCCTCTCGAGACTAATTTCGTATAACAATTCTTGATACCGTGCGACGAGTTGGTTCACGCGTATTCAGATGAGCCACGATCGTGGGAACGTGTGATGCGAATAGGACACGTTAAGAAGATTGAACGCAGCGATTCAAAGATAATAACGCGGAGAATGACGTCGAGGGAAATGTGCGATGAGATCGATCGAGAAATTTCATCGAATTTCATCATTTAGATGCGTGCGTTAATTGTACGCTTGTGTATATCATATATATATATATGTAGTGTTGTACGTGTCTCGGAAGAAGTCGTGTGAAACGCAGGTTTTCTATTGGTTATTTCGAGCAGACCGAATCAATTAAAATTGGAATTTCTAATTGATCAACAAGCCTCACAAGTTTCTGTAAGTGAAATCGTCCGTCCCACGTGACTTCTTGTAAAGCATACACGGTAGTACATATTAAGATTTCATTTTTCCAACGAATTCTCTTGCCCTGTGTCGAAACATTGTGATTTATTCGATTTATTATTCAACGAACGTCGTCGACACATCTTGAACTGATGTATTCCTGGCTGATCAGAGTAATACACCGCATAGAACGAGAGAATTCAAATAATTGATCGAACCGTTTTAGATATTGAACATGATTTCGATTTGTTGGAATAACTTCGCCAGTTCCTTCGCTCGATTCCATGCACACGAACTCTTGTTATATTAAATCAAATTTTCGGACGGATCCGCGCGAAACTGGTTCAATTAACACTGACCAGAACTTATCGTTCTTGCCAATTACGTTACGTTATTTAATGTTACAGATCACACATGTGTTGTATCGCGAAATAATAGACGCCTGCAAATGTTATTGCATCCATAATGCAATTAATTGTATCTATAATATTTGCACTTGTGCAAACGCGTGTCGTAAAATACACACGTGAAATTCTGCAAAAAAATCCTTATTGCAAGACGTAAACAGAGAAATGTTTGTTTAAAAAACTGATTTCGTCCTCTGACAAATTAATTTTCAAATAAGAATACCGAGGTTTGTATCTTTACGCTATTTCATTCTAACTTTATTCTCTGTCGCCTGATTTTGTCTCTCCTTCTTTCTCTCCCAATCTTCGCCTCTTCTTTTCTCGTCCGCTTTGCTTCTTTCCACCCTTTTTTTCTTTTCTTTTTTCTTTTTTTAATCGTATGAACACCTTCCAAGCAAAACTCCAATATCGAAACACGATTGATTGTTACCTAAGATATTCTTGTAACGAGCATGCAATCACTAGTGTGCAACATCAGCCTGCATTTCATTTGCACGCCATTGGCTGCCCCTTCATTGTATCCACAAAAACAGACCAATTTGGTTACGCGAAGAAATTGCACTCTTCTTGTTCATGATTATTGAGAAAACGGAAGTTGATCTTCGGTATATTTTGACCAAACGAAATAGCTACATACCGTGCGCGAATACAGGGAATGATGAGGCGATTAATGATCGCGATTGCGAGAATCGATACGCGATACACGTGCATCTACCTGTAAAATTATGCCACGAACCAATCAAGAAAGTTGTTTCGTGACTGTTCTAAGGGAAATGACACGCATGGTGCACGCTCGAGGTTAAGAAGAACAGAATCCCTCGCCTTCTCATGCGAGTAATTTATGGGTAGAGCGATTCGCTGCTCAAATGATATGGCGGATCGAGTGGAAACCGATAAAGATATTCGAGAAATGTCTTTATTCGATCATTTTTTTTTTTTTAAATTAATATTAGGGATGAGATACTCGAGCCCCCAAACTTTGAAGCCTCGAAACTTTTTATTATAAAATTTTTTGTGACTCGAAACTCAGATGTAGGATAATTCTTATAATGATAAACTTAACTTATGAAAATTTGTGTAAAGAAAATTTAATTTTTTACGAAACCAATGAAATAATCGCGATTGTTGGCTGTTGGTTGATTATGAAACTGAGTTTCGAGAATTGTAGAAATCAAAATTTGTTATAAATTTTAATTTTTGACGAAAAGGAAAAAAGGAGACGTGTAAATATTCAAATGGAAATCGGGTTTGGAAGTCTTCATCTCCAATTAATAAATGTATGAAGAAATTATTGACGTGTGAAAGATGCAATAGAAGAATCGTGCGATCGATTTGTAAGGTGTCGGTATTATTACTCGTTTTTTTTTTTAAATTGCTTGTTGGCAATTATAATATTTTCAGAATAATTATTCTAATGTAAAAAAAATTCTGTGTGATAGGATGATTATTAAACAGAACACTATTTGGAAGGTCGAGTACAGAGATTCCTCTAATAAATCTTATGTGATTCTGAATCCTTGAGATGACTGTATTACGATGGCATTGAGTCCTCTAGATAAGAAAAATAATTAAAAATTACGAAGGTGATTATTTTGTGATAAGAAAGTGTATGTAGGTTAATTTTTCTTTTCTTTTTCTGTTTTTTTTTCTTTTTTTTTTTTTTACATAGATAATATTTCCTATTTTCGTTCAAAACGAATCTACATGAAGCTTAATCTAAATGTTTATAAAGTTTTGGATAAAAATATAATTCTTTATAAAAACTTCAAATTACTTAAAAATTTATTCGTTCAAAATTTGTCTAATTTGCAAATTTGTTTGGAAAAAAAAAGAAAAATAAATTCGAAAACTGAGATAAATTATTATATTATACTTCAATGCATATTATAAAAATTATTATTGTCCAGTAAACTTTTTCTTCGAATTAAAAAAAAATTCTTATTATTATAATCTATTAATTTTGAATTCCAACGAATATGCTTTCGATTCGTTTTCGTTTGAGAACTTACCACACAATGTCAATTTATTTCCGCGTGTTCCACTTCAAGTCTCTCACAGCATACGTTTCTCAAGAAAAATTATGGATATAATATATAATGCTTCGCACGATATAGTTCATATGCTATTTCGTCACCTGCAAAGCTTTTAATGTCACTTATATAATAACATGTCAGATGTTTCATACATACTACTGAACAGTTAAGTTTCTATTATTTATCACATACGATCGTGGCAAAATATAGGATGAGCCAATATCCTGTAATTTTGTATTTCCGATAGATCGAGGCATAAAATCTTTAATTTCAATGGGAAACTTTTTGAGGTGCAATTGCAGATGCGAGAAAGGAGAATGATTCGTTCAAATTTCGTAAAATTCGTTAAAATGTTAAATTGGAGAGGAGGAGGGTAAATACGTAGAAAGATATTTACCGGAAGTGCGCTTCGTGTCTATGCTTCCGTTGAAAAATTTGCATGAATGATCGATAAAAAATTTATGTAATTAATACAATACGTTGAAAATAATATGGAAAAAAAAAATATATATATATTGGGTTATTATGGAGGGATCTGCAGACTGAAAATGAAGATGGAAGTTTTAAATTAAATATATGTATGTTGCAAAGGATATTATTTAATGCTATATATATATATACATATATATATATATATATATATATATAGAATGATATATATAGAAATATATATATAATGAAATATATATAGAATATATATATATAGAATGCTGTTTAATATTATGATACTATAAAATAATACATTATATATAACATATATATATAATGAATTGTAAAGAAATTTTTTCAAAAATATTTAGGTTTTTAAGTAATAAACTTGACCTCATTATACATGATAAGAGAAACTCAGCGAAATCGATTTTGATTTTTAATGATTTTATGTAACGTGTGCTTTCCTTTAGTTATTCTTTTTTTTTTTGTTAAGTAAGGTGGATTGTTTTAGTTTTGTAAATAGGATATTTAATTCAAATGACAAAGTCCTCTCAATGCATATTTCCTTTTTTTTGTGTGTGTTTTGCTTTATTTTTATAATTTTTGTCATTATTGATTTTAATTTCTGTTATTTTTAAAATGGCTCAATTCACGTACTCTAATTCAAAGTATAAATTGTACGGTATAAGAATAAGTCAGCTTAATTTCATCATAAAATTAATGATACTTGTAATAAATTTATTATACTAAGTTAAATTATTAAGTTGAAATTATTAAAATCCAGATGATTGGCACTCAATTTGTAAAAATTTTTACGAGTGCTGAAAACTTCATCTAAATATTTACGATATGGAAAAAAGAAGAAAGATATATCATCGGTGAATTACACTTTTTTTTTAAAATCAATTTCAAAGTCAATTATTACGCTTAATCGTTCTATAAATACATTATAATAAGTAAAATGAAAAAAATCAAATGATCAATTTTCATAATGTTGAGAAATGAATTAATTTTTAAAATTTCATTATCAAGAATCAAATTAACCTATCTCTCTTTTAAATCATCATTATAAATTCATTCATCACGTTACATTCATTTATCATAATGTTATCGTTTATTTTCCACGACATTTCGTTACCGTATGCGTAACAACGAGAAATACCTTAATCTTGCCATACATCTATCGCTCTTAATTTTAACAACTTTTGCTTCGATTTTAACGAAACTTTTTAAAATGTACTTATGACGAATTTACAGCAATCGTAATTTATTCAAAAGCTGGTAACAATTATTTCTCGCAAAAAAACAAACACATGTCTAGTAGACAAGTTTCCAGGTGCTCCGAGCTGTGTCTAATTTCTAATTGACCGAGCACTGTTAATTGTCTTTATAAATCATGTGTGCTGTCAGTGTTCTGCGCCTGTTTTATTCTATTTTCACTCGTTTAATGCGCGTTAGCCGCATTTATCGTAGACATTTTCGCGTTGAAACACGTGTGTGCATCCGAGACAAATTTTACTTTGCAAATTCCAATCAAATTTGAAACGTGATTTCAATTACCATATAGCAAAACATCTTAATTAGTTGAATGATTTGTAATTCCTTAAATTCAATCTATTTTATATTGTTTTTTCGTTAAATTGATGGAGGAAATTGGCTAGGAATAATTAAAAATTTCTTCTAATAAATGCAATTAAAATAAATAGAGATTTATTACATTACAGATAAGGTGAACCGATTTTTAATTCTATAATAATTAAGAATCTTACTTTCAATGAATAATTAAGAATTCTATTTCTTTTTCTTTTTGATTTTCTTTTTATTTTTCTTTTTTTTTTTCCCCCTCCTTAAATAGGTTGTTTCGTGAAAAATATTTCTGAATGCAACCACGATTGTACATAATCTCGAAGCATCAGCTACAAGCATCTATTGCAAGATCTCGGCTCACTGAAACTTTAAGAATATATATCAGTCATTCAAAATATTTTAGTTCTTTTTTGTAAAAATGAACAGACTGATTAAAGATTCAAATTAGTGTAGCGACTAAAGGAAGTATAGTTTCGTTTCGTAGCATCTATATGATCATTGATTCGAATTTGTATCAAGAAGTGTGAGTAATTTGTATGAACCGATGCAGATATGTATGTCCTGTTGAATTTATAGGCTTATTTATCGCCGTCATATCCTTATTTTTTTGTTTTTTTTTTTTGTCTTTGAATTATGTTATTTGTATCTTATTATGTCGTGACAATGTTGTAATACGTTAACAAACGGATCGTTGATTTTACAAGTTATTAAATTTCTTTACAAATTTAAATTCAATAATTCGATCGAGTTAATCTCGATGATTTCGATGATTAATGTTCCTAAAAATCGTGCAACTATATTAAAAGATAGCTTAAGTAAATTTCACGATTTCTCGAAACAAAAATTTCGATCAAATCGAAAAATCCATTTGTATTGTATCCAGGATAATCATGTTTTGAAAAATTCATTTCGAGGGAGAAAAGTTCCAAATAGATTATTAATAAAATATTACAACTCTGTTTGACAGAGATTACCATTAATGTTATTTATTAATTAACGTCTGAGAGAATTTTGACAATAATTATTAATTTTCCTCTTATAAACAATAAACATGTAAAGGGATAATGTAGAATTTCTTTTTAAAATATTACGTGGTTTTAATCATGCGTTAAATGCACGGTGGATGATACTACAATTATGTATTGATTAATATGCATTCTTAATTAATACCGTATTATTGTTCAGCGAGAGTA